GTCCCCAAGAAAGACCAGTTCTCCGTCTCGTTATCCTAACTAGTAAGATCTCCTAACTCGCGGCAGGCGCGGAGGTGAACCCGTGCCCGGAGTAAATCTGCCCCAGCCGCTCCGGACCGCGTTCTCATGCTTTGATGTGTCAAACGGGATCAGTTGTCACTCCGGCCGGGAAGCGTTTGTTGCCTCTTTGGGCAAAAATGTACAATTCCACAGGTTGCAAATCGTCCTCTCTGCTAACTCCTCTAGCATTCTATTCAGTCTAGTCAATCTCCATAATTTTCCAGCAACCTGAGGAGCCTGGTAGAGGCTACGGCGGAGTCTGCAATGGAGGCTATCTTCTCCTGCCTACAATAATATCAACAACAGCCAACGATAAACGACAAGTCCGACGGAGGCTGTCCGGGGTGTTCGTTACGACCCTTTTATCTGAGGAACAGATACAGAGATAAATAACGCGGACCGGGCTAATTTAGAAGCAGGGCTGATTTACATCCCTTACATTCTGCGGTGAGAAACGTCGTCCCAGATAAATCTGTTTAGTGTTGTATCTGATCCGGCTGTACAACACGCCGATGACTCAGGTCCGCAGGCCGTCCTGTTCATTTCTCAGTTTATTGTCTTCGTCACCAGGTCTCTACCAGGGCCGACTGAAAATACAGTATAGTAGAAAATTGCCAAAATATGGGCAATGAATATTTTATGATAGGAGAGTGGGTTTTTTTTTTACCGACAAATACCATTGTTCTAGAGGATAAGACTACTAAGTAACCAGGTCTAGCCCTGACCGGTAAAAAATTAAGCAACAGCGCGTAATAGAAAAAATCGCGGTCTCCAACGGAGACTATCTATACATGTAGTCATAGTGTATACTTTCACAGCCGATCCAAGTGCCAACCTACTAGTAACGTCATGCCTACGGACAAACGTTTAATAACAGTTTTTAGTTGAAAATCTATACCCAAAAACACACAGAATGCATGTGATGAGGTACAGATGTCCACAGCTAAGGTTGTACAAACATCCTTCACCTGCCGTCTGTCTCTTCTCCTTTTTACTCCACCGTGTCTTACACCTGACGAACATCTTTTAATAGCTCCTGCAGTTTCGTCGCTGTTTTGTCCTTACTCCCGAGTCATTAAGGTCTACCAATGGGTGTTACAACGGGAAGGTT